AAAAAAAAAAAAAAATAGTTCTTCATAAGGTAATTGTAAGGCACAATTGTTTGTGTAAAACACTTCACTTACATGGTAAATGTAGTACATGGCAACAGCTCGGTAAGTATTAGTTTCTATTTGCCTTATAAAAAGTATTATCCAGGAAATGAGTCAATCATAGTTAGTAAATGCAAAAAAAAAAAAAAAAAACATACACATCAAGGAAGAAAATTCCAAGTTTAAAGAAAAAATAAGTTTATAAAAAAGGAAGCCGGGTGCTGCTGAGGCTCATGCCTGTAGTCCTAACACTCTGGGATGCGAAGGCAGGTGAATTGCCTGAGCTCACGAGTTTGAGACCAGCCTGAGCCTGAGTGAGACCTCATCTCAAAAAATAGCCAAGAGGGCAGCGCCTGTGGCTCAAAACGGTAGGGCAGGTTCAAACCCAGCCCCAGCCAAAAATAAATAAGTAAATAAATTAAAAATACCTGTAAAAAAATATATATATAAATATATATATATATATATATAGCCAGGAGTCGTGGCGGGCACCTGTAGTCCCAACTACTTGGGAGGCTGAGGCAAGAGAATTGCTTGAGCCTAAGAATTTGAGGTTGCTGGAGCTGTGAAACCACAGCACTATATTGAGGGTGACTAAATGAGACTCTGTCTCAAAACAAAACAAACAAACAAAAAAGATTATAAGATTATAAAAAAGACCTTTTCTGTGAAGAGGAAGATATCCTTAAGTTGGGCTCTTTGGAAAAGGCTTTAAGTAAAGAATAATATGATGACGAGAGCTCCTGCCAGAGAAAAGATTCCATATTGGGCTTGTTTGTTAAATCCTGAATGCCAGCTTGAAGAATTTATATTAGTAGAAATAGTTCATAAGAAATTACTGAAGCTTTTAGGGATTTGTTTTTAGTTCCCTAATAGCACATCGATTTCAGTGCATTTAAATCAGCCTGATAGGCTAATGATCATAGTTTCAGGTTTAAGTCCTAAATGTCAAAAAGTTGCCATCCTGACATTTTTACTTTTTAATTTCAGATTAATTTGAGGGTACAGATGATTAGGTTACACTGTTTGCATTTAAAGTACAGTCCAAGTTGTAGTTGTGCCCCTCACCCAGGCGATGTGCCACATACCCTGACATTGCGCCTGTTAGGTGAGAGCACACTTATTTTGACATTTTTAATTTCAGACACAAAGAAAAGTTACAGAGACTTGAAATGTGAAATCTGGTTCAGAAAAAACATAAATGCCAAACTAAAAGAGTTAAGGCTGGTAACAATGAGAAGCAAATAATATTTATATTTTAGAGACAGGATCTTTTTATGTTGCCCCAGGCTGGTCCATAACTCCTGGCTTCAAACTATCCTGCTATCTCAGCCTATCAACGTCCTGAGACTACATGCCCTGCCACAAGTAGCACTTTTCTTTGTTCTTTTTTTTCTAAGCATCAAATAGGGCTTCATCTTTTCCTTAAAAATAAAAATGAACAGAATCTTTTCTTCTGTTATTAAAATTGCTTCATCAATCCTAATTATTGAAAATAAGATTCTGGGTGAGTTACTGGGTTCTGTAGTAGTCTAGATTTCTATAGATAAAACAGCTTTGTAAATAAAAATATCTCAGTTTACATGTATCTTGTTTCAATCATGGTAGTAAAGATAATACTTATTTGTGTTATAAAAAAATGGTACTATTTGAAAAGTTATCTGAACTGTATTGTCAGTATTGAATAACATAGGCAGTTGTTAGCTACCCGTAAATTAATCAAGATATCATCGTGTGAAACATGAGTTGGAGACATCAGGTATTCCTGTGGTTTAATTTAATGACTTGGGCTCAAGTTTGCAAAATGCAGTTACTCCTTCAGTGCTAACAAGGCACTAATTAATAGAAAGCTATGTTAACAGTAAAAATTTAACTTGCTTTTTTGTATGTCTCTTTATTAAAGAGTTTTTTCTTTTTTGGGGGGTTAGGGTTCCAGTTGATCCATCTTTCTTGTCACTGTCACCAAGTCACAATCAGGTAATTTTTAGTACATGTATTTATTTATTTTTGCTTTTCAAACTAATAACAGTTTTCTTCTTTTATAATAAATTGCCATTAATTGCCAGATATTTGTAACATTTACTATTTTTCTCCTCAGTTCATACATAACATATGCACATGATATTGCTAACGATGTTTTTAGACACTAGACCAAAAAAAGTCTTTACCTGTATGTTGGCTTTGGAGTAAACATAAGAACAGTGCACATGGGAAAAGTGCACAAACTTGAAGCAATGCTTTGTCACTGTGAAGTAAAACTTACTTGGGTCAGCAGTGGTTCCTGAAATTGATAGGAAATATTGATAAGTTGATCCTTATCCCCACTGGAATATATAAAATAATACTTTTGTTCCAGATGTCACATATAGACTTGGAACTTCATCGGAGAAGAGAACAATTAGTAGAGCACACTCGGCGAGAGGCACAGCTTGCTGCCCTACAGTATGAGGAGGAGAAAATAAGGACCAGGCAAATTCAGAGAGAAGCTGTCCTGGACTTTATCAAAGTGAGTCCTTTGCATTCATTGAATGATACTGTTAAAGTTAGTTAGAAGTAAGTGCTTATTTGTTTTGCTGAGACTGACAGTTTTTATTGTCTTGATTAAAATGTCAGCTTTTTGGCCAGGCGTGGTGGCAAATGCCTGTAATCCTAGCCCTCTGGCGGACAGAGGTGGGTGGATTGCTTGAGCTCAGGAGTTTGGGACCAGCCTGAGCAAGAGTGAGACTCTGTCTCTACTAAAAATAGAACAACAACAAAAAAAAGACTGAGGCAAGAGGATTGCTTGAGCTCAAGAGTTTGAGGTTGCTGTGAGCTATGATGATGCCATGGCACTCTACCCAGGGTGACAGAGTGAGACTGTATCTCCAAAAAAAAAAAAAAAATTAGCTTTTGCCTTTTTTCTCACTATTAGCAAAGTGAGTGACTGTCTCTCTTGCTTGTGCCTGTCTGCAAGACAGTAGAAGTGATTATTTGGCTCTTTAACAGTAATCTCTTCCTCTTAATCCTCAATCTGAGATACACTACTTTATTATCTAGCTGCTGTTTCCTTAATCTCTAGGGTCATAGTAAAGATCATTGTGATCATAAAATGAAAGTGCTCTGTAAACTGTAAAAGTTCCCTGCAAATGTAAACTATTATTAGTCAGCCACTCTCCACCTTCCTCACTTTAGTAATACCAAAAATTACTAGGCTCACAGGCCTAAACTTTTATAGTCATTTCTGATTCTTCCCTTTGGTTTACCACACCAATTAATTCCATTAACATGCATTCAATTAACAATCCTAGTAAAATTTTTTTTGGTAGAGACAGAGTCTCACTTTATCACCCTCAGTAGAGTGCTATGGCATTACAGCTCACAGCAACCTCCAACTCCGGGGCTTAGGTGATTCTCTTGCCTCAGCCTCCCGAGTAGCTGGAACTACAGGCGCCTGCCACAA